AATAATAATAATAATTAACATACTGGGCCATGGAGATAGCTCAGCAGTCTCAGGGCCTGCCTAGGCAAGTGCAAGGACCCAGGTTTGATCCCCAGTACTGCATGCCATACTGGCCCCACCCTGGCATGACAAACCAACCACTGAGATCAGGTATGGTGGCGCACGCCTGTAATCACAGCCCTGGGGATGCTGAAAACAGGAGGCTCACTATGAGTCAGAGCTGTATAGTGAGTGAGACCCTGTACCAAATACATAAAATAAAAAAAATAAAATAAAATAAATACATACTAACAAAATCAAAGGTCTGGGCAAAAGAACAAAGAAAATTAGATTTGGGGTACAATGGTATCTGTCTTTTCCTTGCTGAAAAAACACCTGGGAACAACATTTCGCTGGACCCCCGGCTTTACCTGGCAGCGGATCATGACGTGGGTCACTTTAGACTTGCCGTCACTGCTTTCCCCCTTGTCGTCACCAGTGCGGACAGAGAGAACAAAATCTCCAGGGTGGCTCTGGCTCTCTCGGACAAGAAAGCTACCATGTTTTCCCTTCTCAGTTAGTAATTTCTCTGCTTCTTTCCCAGAGAGATGACCATGAAACCACCTAAAATGTTTTAAAATGAAAAGGAATTGAGTGCAGGCATCGATTCACAACATTTTTTCACTGAACTACCATATACAGCCAGCTCTCCTGAACACAGTGTAAAAACAGACACATCTTTCCCTGGACAGACTCCATGTCCACTCCATGAACTGGCATCTCATATAAGCAGGAAAAATGATAAACATGGTAAGAATTACTATGATTTTTTTTTGGCAGTACTGCAGAATGAACTAGACAAAAACCCAAATTAGAAATATCAGAGATATCACAGTTGAACCAAACCTTCAAACAAATGGACTTAATAGCTACACAGCGCCCCACCCAACAACAGAACACATTCTTCTCAGCAGCACGCGCTTTCTCAAAAAAACCACATCAGCTCCTAAAGGATGCTTAAGTATATGCAAAAGAATCAAAATTATCCCACACATGTTATCAGATAGATCATACTACAATAAACTAGAAGAAAGCGATGGCAAAATAAATCACAGAAAGTATATAAATCCATGGGAATTAGACAGTAGCCTCTTAAATAATCGATGGATCACAGAAAAAATATTTAAAAAATAATAGACAATTCCTAGAATCCAATGATAAACCAGTACAATACACCAAGACCTATAGGACACAATAAAAGCATTCCTTTGAGGAAAACTTCTAACTGTGAATGCCTACATCAGAAATACAGAACAAGCTCAAGTAAATACGCCAGTGATGCAGCTCCAGGTCCTAAAGAAACAGGAAAAATCCAAATCCAAGCTATTACAAGGAAGGAAATTATAAACAGCCGAAATTATGGGCCTGGGATTTAGCTCTGTGGCACAGTACCTGCCTGGCAAGTGTGAGGTCTTAAATTCAATTCCCAATACCCCCCATCCCCCAAAACAATAAAAATAAAAATCAGAAATTAATGAGACTTTAAAAAATATAAAGAATCAATGAATCAAAGAGCTAGTTCCCTGAAAGAATAAAACAACACAAACTCTTCGCCAATCTTAACAAGATAAGGAAAAACAAGACCCAAATCAACACAATTAGAAATAAAAAAGGCAAAACCACAGTAGGCTCTGCCAAAAGCTGGATTATTAGTAACCACATTGAAAACCTGTACTCTAATAAAATGGAGAATTCAGAAGAAATGCATAGATCCCTAAATACCTACAAACTACCTAAAAGCTGACAAGACACAAAAAGCCTGACTAACCCAATGTCAGACAATAAGACTAAAAAGTAATAATAATAATAAGGGAGGGGGCCGGGGAGATGACTCAGGGGAGTAAGTGCTTCCCTGGCAAGCGCAAGGGCCTGAGCTCAATTCCTGGTTCAGCAAATAATGATGATGACGATGACGATGATAATAATAGTAATAATGAAAAAAGCTGCCAACTAAGGAAAGCCCAAGTCCCAATGGATTCAATCCCAAATTGTATAAGAACTTTAGGAAAGATCTAACATCAACATTCCGACCATTTAATGAAACTGAAAGGGAAGCAATACTTCCAAAGTCATTCCTAGAAGCTAAGATTAGCCCGATTCCAAAATCCAAGAAGGATCCAACCAAAAAAAAAAAAAAAAAAGCACTATAGGCCAATCTCTTTAACATGTTTAGGGGACCTTCCAGTTACCTCAGTTGTTTAAGTGCCTGCTTATGCAAATGCAGTCAGGCACAGGATACCGCGGTTCGATCCCCAGCTCCGTGTCTTACCAGACCCGCCCTTAAGGCAGCCAGAGCCAGCCCCCAAAAAACAAAAAAAAAAAAAAACCTTCTTTAACATGTTTACAACGCAGTGTGATTTGTATCCCTTGCTGCTAGGCAGATATGATTTGAATTCCATCATCTGATTGATCTGTTTTGTTTGCTTTGTTTTTTCGAAATAAGGTCTCATTATGTAGTTCAGGCTGGTCTTGAACTTTCTACAAAGCCCAAGCAGGTTTCAAACTTGCAGTGATCCTCCTGTTTCAGCTTCCCCAATGCTGGGATTATAGGTGTGTGCCACCAAGCTAAGCTTTCACTGTCTGTTGTTAAACAGCAACTGCCAATAGTTCAAACCACCTGATGGGATAGTCATGCATGTACCACGGGCACTTTACGCTGACAGCAACATGTTGAAGAACATCAATGTAAAAATCCTCAAGAAGGACCGGGGATATAGCTCAGTGGCATAAACCCCTGCCAGGCAAGCACAAGGTCTCAAATTCAATCCCTAGTACTATGAGGGGTGGGGGGGAGAACCACACCTCTATAAGATACCTGAAAACAGGATACAACATCAAAAAGATCATATGACCAAGTATGATTCATCCCAGGACGGAGGGATGGTTCAACACACACAAATCAATAAATGTAACATACCACATAAAGAGAAATAAGGACAAAAATCACATGATCATCTCAACACAGAAGTTTTTTGACAGAATGCATTAATGATTTAAAAAAAAAATACATAAGTCTAGAAGGACCTTTTCTCAATCTGATAAAAGCCATTTATGGCATCCTCAGCACATCTGGAATCATAGCACTCAGGAGACTGAAACAGCAGGATTCAAGGCCAGCCTGGCCTTGTAACAAGACACAGTAGATAAAACAAAAGAGCCAGACATTCTTAACAAACCAACACCTCCAACATCATGTTAAATGGAAAGAAATGTAAAGGTTTCTCTTTAAAATCAGGAACAAGGGGACTGGGGAGATGGCTCAGTGGAATGAGTGCTTCCCTGGTAAGTGCAAGCGCCTGAGTTCAATCCCTGGTTCCACAAAAATAAAATAAAATCAGGAACAAGAAAAAGATGTCTACTATGACCAGTACTGGGTGTTCTGCGGAGTGGGAGGATTTCTGATACAGTTTTCGACTGTGGTTCATGCTGGCCTTGAACTCATTACATAGTCCAACTAGCTTCAACTCGCAGAGCTCCTCCTACTTCAGCCTTGCAGGGCTGGGATTATAGGTACGCACCACCACGACCAGCACCAGTACTGCTCAATATGGTTCTCAAAACATTGACTAGAGTAATTAGACAAGAGAAAAATAATAATAAAAGGGTAAGTACAGAAAAGGAAAAGGTCAATTATTATTTGCAGATAACATAACCTTCCCTCCACATAAAGACCCAAAAATTATAAGAGCCAAGCTCAGTTAACATAGCAGAATACAAAATCAACACTCAACTATCAGTAGTGTTCCTGTACACTAATAATAAACTTGTCAAGAAAGACATTAGGAAGCCAGGCATGGCGATGCACGCCTATAATCCCAGCACTCAGGAAGCTGAGGCACGAGGATCACTGTGAGTTCAAGACCAGCCTGAGCTACAAACTGAGCTCAAGGCCAACCTGAACTATATAAAGAGATCCTGTCTCAAAGACAGACAAACAGACAGACAGACAGGAAATAGTATCTTTTACTATAGCTTCAAGAATAATTAAAATATCTAGGAATTGACCTAACCAAGGAAGTGAAAGACCTCCACAATGAAAACTATAGTACCCTGAAAAAGAAAATTAATGAGGATGCCAGCAAATGGCAGTCTCCTATTGCTGGATAGGCAGAAGCAACACTGTCAAACTGGCTGTACTTCCAAAATTCATATACTGAATGAACACAATCTCATGAGAACACCAACAGCCTCCCTGACAGAACTAGAGAAAAAAATCCTAAAATTCATAAAGAGCCAGAAGATACCTCGAACAGTAAAAGCACTCTTGGTGCAAAATCAAGGCAGGAAGAATCACAATTCCAAGCTTCAAATTATACTGCAAAGCAAAAATATTAAAAATACTGCCTGCGGGGGCGGGGAGATGGCTCAGTAGAAAAAACGCTTGCCTGGCAAGCGCAAGGGCCTGAGTTCAACTCCCAGTTCCACCAAAAAACAAACAAAATAAAATAAAAAATAAACAAAAACACTGACTGGGTGTCATAGCACATGCCTGTAATCCCAGTGCTCAGGAGGCTGTGGCAGGAGCACCAGTATGAGTTTGAGGCCAGAACCCTGTCTCAAAAAATAAACAACATAAAAACAGCATGGTGTGAGGAGGAGGAGGAGAAGGAGGAGGACGGCAACGAGAATGAGGAGGAGGAGGAAGAGGAAGAGGAGGAATATTAACGGAAAAGAACAGAGAATATAAAAAAAAAAAAAAAAAAAAAACAAGTATATTCAGCTACCTGATATTTGATAAAGGGGCCAAAAACCTACACTGGAGGAAAGACAGCCTCTTTAACAAATGGTACTGGAAAAGCTAGTAATCAACAGGCCAAAAATTCAACCTAGACCTATACATCTCACCATGTGCTAAAATAAAACCAAAATGGACTAATGACCACATGTTAAAATAGAAACACTGAAACAGCTAGAAGATAACTAGGTAAAACGCTCATAGACATACACAAAGTCAACAAATGGAATCATTTTAAATTAAAAAGCTCCTACAGCTTGGCATGGTGTCACACACCTGTAATCCCAGCACTCAGAAGGCTAAGGCAGAAGGATTGTTGTGAGTTCAAGACCAGCCTGGGCGAACTGCATAGTGAGACCCTGTCTCAAAAAGACCAAAAAAAAAAAAAAAAAAAAAAAGAAAAAAAAGAAAAGCTTCTAAATGGGTATTTCTTACAGCCATATTTTTAAATGAAATCAATCAGACACAGCTGTAAACACTACACTGCTGGGCTGGCCAGATAGCTCAGCAGACTAAAGCATCTGCTTAGGCAGAGCACAGAGGCTGGGGTTTGATTCTGAGACAGCGATTAAGACTGGGCATGGTGGCACGCGCCTGTAATCCCAGAGCTTGGGAGGCTGAAAACAGGAAAATCACTAGGTGTCCAATCTACATAGTGAGACCCTGTAGACCCTCTAAGCTCTGTACTAAATACATTTAAAAAAAAAAAAAAAAGGTGAAGAGGGGCTGAAGATAGGGGAAAAGGAAAAAAAAAGAATCAAGTTATATGTACATCTACAAACTCCCTATAATGAGTGTGATCATTATGTACACCTAAAATGTACCAATAAACTTAATTTTTAAAAAATTAAAAAGCTTCTGCAGTAAAGGCAACAACCAACAGAGTGAAGAGACAACTACAGAAGGGGGGGCATGTTCCAGCTATTCCTGGGACACAGGACTATTATCTAGAATATATAAAGAAAACCAAAAATATTAGATGCCCTAAAATAAAAAACCCAATCAAAGCATGGGCACATGAAATAAAAGATACTTCTCAGATGTACAAATGGAAAATAAATACATCAAAAAGTTCAACGTCACTGGCCATTGGAGAAAAGCAAATTAAAAGAACTGGGATTCCACCTTACTCCAGAAAGATGGCTATCATCAAGAAATCAGGTAACAACAAATGCCGGCAAGGCTAGGGGATAAGAGGGTAAACTAGTACAATCATTATGGAAATCAGATTCCTCTTAAAACTAAAAGCAAACAGTCCATTTGACCCGCTATTCTGCTTCTAGGTATCTTCCCAAAAAAGTTAAAGATATCGTATCATAGTAATTCATGCATACCCGTGATTACAGAAATACAACTCACAATAGCTAAACCTTATTGGAAGCAGCCCACACATCTATCAACAGATGAATGGATAAAGGCAGTGTGGTATTTATATACAATGAAGGACCACTCTCCCATGAGAGATAAACCTGACTCATTTGTAGGAAAATGGAAACATCTTGAGATTGTAACATTAAGTGAAATAAACCAGACACACAAGCTTAGGTATCACACTGCTTCTCTTATAGGAGAAGCCCAAAGTATAAGTAAAGAACAAAATAAAAGATAATGGGGGAAAGTCCGGAGATCTGCTTCCAACAATGTGAATGACCAGGACAGTACTGAACTTACACTTCAAAATGGCTAAAATGATAAATTCCACATTTATGCTTTTGTGACAAAAAAAAAGATTATAAATTAATTCAAGCACTCCAAGTTTTTCCATATTTCAACCTATACTTCAATAGCCTCCAAATGTGCTATTGATGTCTTAGATACCTTGAACTTTAATGCACATAAGAGTTGCAGTCGAGGTGAAGAATGGCTGTGCTAAAAATTCCTATGCCCCACAACCAGAGAGAGGTCCAAATGGAACAGTGCAGGAATCCGCACTGCTAGCCAGCATGACAGTCCTGATGGAGGCCTTCCAAGGTCATTCAAGGACAGGTTTTTTTGTTGTTGGTTTTTTGGGGATTTTTTTGGTTTTCTTTTTCTTTTCTTTTCTTTTTTTTTTTTTCTTTTTTTTTTTTTTTGAGATAAGGTCAGTTCAGGCAAGCCTTGAGCTCACTGTGTAGCCCAGGCTGGACTTCAATTCAAACTCATTGACGATCCTCCTGCCTCAGCCTCCCATGTGCTGGGATTACAAGTAAGACACATTTTTAAACAGTATTGCTCTAAATGATCATGGAAAATACCTTAGCATAGTCACATTAATGACATGGCTCTTTCCCTCAGGCTGGTTGTAAGGAAACAGCAGCTACCATAACAGGTAACACCAATGGCACATCCCTGAAGGAATAGGCCAAGTTAATTTTTAACTGCACACAGCAGGAAAGAGTAAAAGGTAGAAATAAACTTCAAAGTTGGCCAGAAGCCCTTTGATTAGTTAGATCTGCAGTGGTAGTTTAAGAAGTAGATCAGGAGCATATACCAGCAATGACATAACGCTGGAATAACCTGAAGATACAAAGCTAATTAAGAGACACAGGATTTGTTCTGAGTCAGAAAGCAGGCTGGGAATTAGAAAACCAAAGCAACCGATACGAATAAACCAAGCCTTCAGCAGCTCAGTTCCAGCCCTCAGGAAAAGAGCTCCACAAGAACACAACTGTACGTAACAAAGCACTCCCAGGCTTGGGGGTGTAAGGCCACAGGCACAGCTGGGAAGCTGGCCCTGAGTTCACACTGCTTTTCCATTTCTGGGTTTAAACTGACATCTGTTGGTGGCACTGTTAAACAACGGGTTGGCAGCCTCCACAGAAGATTTGGTTTGTTTGTTTTGTTTCATCGCTTTGTTTTGGTTTTGATTTTCAGTTTTTGAGACAGGATTTTCCTATACAGCCAATGCTGGCCTCCAACTTTCAAGTCTCCCACCTCAGCCTTCCAAGGGCCGGGGTCATACAGTCACGTAAGCTACTTTAGCATCACCACTATGATTCACATTCCTCTAATAACTCCTAAAGATTATCTGCTGAAGTTTAATAAACCTTAAAATTACTGCATATACTGAGTATGCATAAGAATAGCACATGAGTGTTAGTGCTATACAACACTAAATGTTGTAACAGTAAAAAACTTAATTCTGGGCCAGGGATATAGCTCAGTAGCACAGCATTTCTCAGTATCAAAATGAATAAAATAAAATAAATAAATTCAATCTTATTATTCTTACTTTTTTTTTTTTTTAATAAGGTGATGCGGGGCTGGTGAGATGGCTCAGTGGTCTAAAGCACCTACTTAGAACAAGTTAAGCTAAGCAAAGCACAGGGACTGTGGTTCAATCCCCCAGCACCACATGCCAGCCCGCCCCGCCCCCTGGTGGGC